CTGGCTGGCTGGCTGGTTGTCTGTCTTACTTTTTCCCAGCGCTAATTAAATTAATGACCATTATCACAAGGGCGAAAAACCTCGGAGGGCCCTATGCAAGTTGCGCACGTATAAGATCCCTCGGTGGTCTAAAATCGATAAGAGTAGGCTTTTGCCGCCACCCGGGCAAAATTCAAAATTTCCTACCAACTGAAAAAGTTTAATGTGTCCCGCGCGCTCATATGACCTTATGCAATTGCGAGCGCCGTAAAACTTTCTTTTTAAGACCATTATCTTGTCGATGTGCTTTTCTTTACCCAAACAAGACAAAACAAAAGAAAACAAAGTAACGAAAAGAGCATGTCTCTGTGTCCGCAGGTGCGACTGAGGGACCAGCTGGTCAGCTCCCTGAGCTTCGCCCGTGCCCGGGACATGGAGCTAGCCTGGGTGGACGGACAGCTGGACATCCCGCCCGTGGACAGCGTGGAGGAGGACGAGGAGATGCCGGACGACGAGGCCGCCAAGAAACGGGCAGGTAAGTCTACGCGTCCACCGAAATAAGATCACTTCCAGGCCAGGCTAATGTGCGACGTTTTTGCATGGTGTAGAACCGACTCAAGACGACCCACGTCCTCCATAGTCAGACCAGCTAGGCCTAACCTATTTTAAGCCCAGTGTGTTATGATTACGGGAACAACAGACAGCACAGGCACAGACGATTTATTTATTCATTATGATGATGAAGGAATGCAGTTACTTCTGCTCTTAACGGCCAACTGTCCAAGACAAGCACTGTACAAACGACCACTCCTCCACCCCGCCTTCCCTTGCATTTGTCTATTCTATAATGACATTGCTCTAGATGATCATTTGTTTAAACGGCCGTTTTCCCGCTTGTATGTTTGTCATATGCTATAATGACACTGTTCAAGATGTTTACCTGTCTAGACAACCACTTTTCTCATCGACAGTGGGTGGCCGTCTTCCCCAATTTTGACTGCAAGTTGTTGTTATCTTCCTCTTCTTGTTTTTTTTTTTTTTGGTCTTTATGTTCTTGAGGAGGGATGGGAAAGGGGAAGGGGGTTGTATGAGCTCAAAGTACTGTCAGAGGAAATTACATACATACAAATTTTTATTTCTATAAAATGTAACAAAACGGCATTAATTGTGTGCAGTAGCTTTTGCAGTCAAATTGACATCTTAGAGAGAGAGAGGCAAGTGATTTTTGTTATCGATGTGAACGTATGACTTACTGGAATATGTCTCCGCAGAATCTCAACTGAACACAAATCCCCCCACGTTGGAGAGTCTCCCTCCCAATATGGTGAGTCTTGTTAGTTTGATGAGTTGATCGTTTTCATGCATTTTGTACAGATGGTTGGAGGATGCCAGTGGTAGATCATTATTCTTGTTTACTTTCTATGTGCAGTTTCTGTCTGTCTCACTTCATCTACTCTAACTAAATAACCGTTGTTGTGTCGGTGTACATTTGTGTGCTTCTGTTTACCGAGAAAAAAGCCCCACCTAAACTGCCTCTTTGGGGGGGGGGGGGGTGTTGTAGTTGTTGTCCTTTCGTTTGTTCTCTTTTTTTATGTATAATAATAATAGTAATAATAATAATAATAATAATAATAATAATAATAATAATAATAATAATAAATAGCATTTGTATAGCGCACATCCCCGCTCAACAGCAGGCTCTATGCACTTTACACTATATTATTACCCCAGCAGACCATAGAACACTCCGAAACATTCTCAGCTTCCCGGGAAGCATACAGTGCAAGCAGCTGATTAAGCGCTCAAACACTAACAAACTGACAAGATCTTTCGCTGTCTATAGCCGGGTACCCATTCCCACCTGGGTGAAGTGAGGAAAATTCGTGTAAAGTGCCTTTCCCAAGGACACAACGTCGGGCCCCTGACGGGATGTATGTGACTCTCCTGTAACACATCTAATTTTCAGCACCTAAGTGACCTTTTTTTTTCGTTACAAGTGCCGTGAAGCTCTTACTGTATATAAAACCAAAACTAAACCCCTTTAGGTCCGAATCTAAGTCCCTCCTCCCCGTACTTTAAGCCTTTCTCTCTTTCTTTTTCATTGTGTTTGTTACTCTCTTGTAATACCTCTAATCTTCGCCACTTATATGACCTTATTGTTTTGCAAGTGCTGTAGCTGGTGGTTGGAGGGCGCCACTGGTAGGTCCTACTGCTATACTTTCCCTCTGTTGTTTCTGTCTGTGTCACTTTTTCCCAGCATTTAAAAAAACATTATTGTATCAACGTGTCCCTCGCTACTCAAACAAACAAACAAAGCAAGTGCTGTAAAACTGTAACTAAAAGAAAAACACAAATCAACGGCTAAGTGGAAAAAGTGACTATATCCACTTTTCAGTTTCGAGAAAAATGAGTTTGAAATTTTGACAATTTAAATATCTCTATAAAGTAGTCAAAAAAGAAACGTTGATATTTCGAGATATAGATATAGATATATATAGATATAATAATAATAATAATAATAATAATAATAATAATATATGGTCGCTTTTAAGAACAAGCGGGCTAACCCAGATTTCGGGGGTTTCCAGAAATCTTTACCTACACCAAAAGTGGGCATTGCCCTACCTTAAGGAGAAGTTTGGTTTCATTTGTGTGTATATTTGTTTGGTTATAGAGAAAACTCTCCTTGTCTTTTAAAGAAACTGAACGAGGGGCAAAAACTTTACCTTCGATTTTGAGCATTTTTCGGGATAGCCCCCTTATGCTTAAAATCGACCATATAATAGTCACTTCTTGCGCACAGCCATCGAAATTTCCCAGTGCATTCCATCTTCTTCCATCATAAGGCTGTATTGTACGTGAAATGTTTGTTCCTTGCCGCCAGGTCCCGCCCCACATGTCTGTGTTCATCAACGAGCCCAAGCTGTCCGACTTCAAAGTGGTGCTCATCAACGCCGGGGTGACCTGCGAGTTCGCCTCCGGCGTCCTGGTTTGTAACAACCTAGTGGCTGTCCGCAGGGTACGTTCTATGTGAAGTTCTAGATCTACATCGTTATTTATCATGTGTGTGTGTGATGTGCACAGAATTCTACACTTTAATAATACATTCGTCAGATTTGGAATCTTAAATTATAATCATAATTATATGTGCCCGCGCGGGTGGGAAGTGAAAGTGAAAGGAATTGAAAATGCTTTCAAAAACAATTGTGAAAGTAACATAATTAAAGTAGGACTACATGTGCTTATAAAGGCCCAAGGTGCATGGATGCGGAAATTAATGTTTCGGATGAAAATAATACGCTATCTCTACTACTGTAACGTGCGGTCAAAAATTTGATGCGCACTTATTATCAAATATCTAGGCTACTGAACTATCGAACACCTAGATATAGATTCTCCTACTTTTACACAATGACTTAGATCTATATCAATTCGTCTTAACCGATGAGTATTTTTTTCAAACATTTGTACACATCTTTAGGTTCTATATTATTCTAGAAATTTCTTTAAAGAAAATTCTTATATAAATACTAGCCCAATATTTAAAAAAATATACCAGTCAATGGTTTCTACAGATTTTTAAAAAGTTTATAGCTGGAGCTAAATCTCTTAAAAGCAAGTCCGTCCTTTTTTCTGCTTCTGTTGGCGACATAAAGCTAATTATTGAACGCATGTTTTGAGAACATTAATTAGATCTAGTGATTAAATATGTTCAGTGTAAAACAAATTTCTTGTGACAAGTTTTGCTACTAAAAAATTACGTAGGCCATATGCGTATGCAAAATGTGTGTGGGAAGCTAGAAGTGCTGTGAACAACCCCATCCGTGTCACGAATTTTTTCACAGTTCTGTAGATCTTATATTTATAAACTCTCTGTGTCTGCTTTTTCTGTTGTTGCACCCAAAAACACAACAATTTAAAACATTGATTCCAATCTCTAATTGCACAGTGAATTCTGTAACTCAAAATTACAAACTGGACAGTGAATGTTCCACTTTTCACTCGTTTGTAAAAGCCGCTCTTGCTTTAAAAGCTATATAGGGTTACTTCCGAAAACGATAAATCGTGCCCTCAAGACGCCATTGTTTTCGGTCTTCAATTCCTCACAGGTCACGTGGTACAGTTCCCGTTCTATAAGTGTAGAATTCTGTGGTGGTGTGTGACTTTGGTCTTTGTTGAGTGTGTATAACATATGGTGGTTGGGAGGGTCGGGAGGAGGGTTGGTATGATGTGTGGTGATGGTGGTGGTGGTGGTGTGTGTGTGTGTGTGTGTGTGTGTGTGCGTGTCTGTGTGGGGGGGGAGGAAGAGAGAGAGAGGGGGGGGGGGAAGAGAGAGAGAAAGAGAGAGAGAGAGAAAGAGAGAGAGAGAGAGACTCCCCCTTTCACCCGACACAACCTCTCTGGAGAAGGGGTGACATCTTTTATCCTTATTTACTTGACTTTCTTTATTTCTAGCTCTCTTGTCTGCCTGTCAATAGAGCTGGTCGAAAAATGCGTGAAATTGAAAGTGTGAGGCCGTTTGTACATGATGTGTATGAAAATAGAAGTAGTTTTTTTTCTAACAACTTTTTTTTCCAAGAAAAGGGAGGGATTGGGACCTATTTCGATCTGTCTGTAACTTTTACCAAACAAGTTAATCGTGGAAGTTGTGGTTGGTGGTTGGCGGGTGCTTTCGTGTGGTTTGCTCCTTCTTTCGTATTAAACATCTATCGTCCTTATCTCTCCTCCTTTTCTTTTTGTGTTTGTTACTCTCCTGTAATACCTCTAATCTTCGGCACTTATATGACCTTATTGTGTTGCAAATGCCGTAAAACACCGTAAAAAGCTTTTATTAAATAGTGGAAGTCGGTGGCATTGTGGAAAGGATTCATCTAGTCTAGGTCCTTCCTCCCCGCCCAATTTAAAAAAAAATTAATTCGTAAATTAATTCGTAATTACATAAATAAATAATAATATTATAAATAATAATGATAAAAAATAGCATTTAATTTGTATAGATCAAATTCCCTTTCAACAGCAAGTTTTAAGAACTTTACAATCCTTATTATTACTCCAGTGTACCAGTTAGCATTCTGAAACAATCTCAACTTCCTGGGAAGTATACGGTGCAAGCTGCCATTTTAAAGGCGCTGAAACACTAACTTACTGACAACGTCTTTCGCTGTCTATGGCCAGGTAGGCCTACCCATTCAAACCTGGGTGTAGTGAGGAAAATTCGTGTAAAGTGCTTTTCCCAAGGACGCAACGTCGGGCCTGAGGCTCGAAACCCCGAACCCTGAAACCTCACGATCACGAGTCCAGTAGCCTAACCACAAGACTGCCAACGCCACATAAAAAATGATAAATAATTTTTAAAAACAAAACAAGAAACCCCCAACTTCCGTCGCTGGTCCCTGTTTTTCCATGTTTGTTTTTAGTTCAATGTAGGGAAGGTGGTATGTTCAACGGAACTGATTTACTCGGGGTGTGTAATAGACAATTTTATGGAAACATTTGCCTGTCTTGTTTTGACACGAAAATTTGTCTTGACCCTGGATAATAACGTGAATGTGAGAAAAACGTTTCCTGCTCTTTGTGGAATCAATTTTCCCAAAACAAGCCGTATTTATTTACTTGTTTTTGTTTTGGTTTCGCGGTTGCGGGTTTGGTTTTTTGGGGGGATTAGTTTGCATTATAGAGAAGTACATCAAAACAATGGGGGCGCTCCGGAAAAAGGAAAAGAAATCAACGGTTCGTCATAATTTATAAAAATTTCGCAGAGCAAATAAACACCCCCCACAAAAGACCACACAATCCCCCCCCCCCCCCCCCCACACACACACACACACAAAGGGGAAAAAAACCATAGTTCTTTGGACACGAATTAGGACCCGTTAACGTGACGTAATAGCTCTCGTCAGAAAAGGACCTTATCCTGGAAAGAAAGCGTTAAACGGATCATTTACTTCCTTTGATCAACGTTTCTCGGCTAGAACCAGGACGTAATGATGTTGTGTTCGGACAGAAAAACTTGTCAAATGTTGTCGAGTTAAAAATAAGCCGGCATGCATGACGTGATTGATCTCGTGTTGATAGGTTGGGAGTGTCTTGGCAGGATGCATGAAGCCCTGTTGAAAGATTACAAGTATTGTTCTGATGAATGTTCTTTTGTGTTGTTTTTTTGTTTTGTTTTTGTTTTGTTGTTTTTTTTGTTTGTTTGTTTGTTTGTGAGGGGGGGGGGTTGGTTTCTTTGTTTTGTTTTAGAATCTAATGTGTTTTTACTTTGTATTTTGTTTGGGTTTCGACATCTTTCCTAGAGTCATGTTCTTTCGAGTTCACATTTTTTTTCTTTTGGAATTTGTTTTTTATTTTATTTTTGTTTCCGATGTCTTTCCAAGAGTCCTCTCTGCACTTGCTCGTTCGAAATTCTGTTCACGTTCCACTTTTGTGTGCCGGTACTGCGAACTAGGTAGTATTAGAGGAAAATAGCGCAGGTGATTGTCCTTTTTTTTACGCCTCCCTCGACAGAAATTATGTCAATTAGACAGCGGGCTGCTTTGACAGATGTATGTCTGTGTGCATGCGTACGTGTGCGTGTGTGTGCGTGTGCGTGTGCGTGTGTGTGTGTGTGTGTGTGTGTGTGAGAGACGGCTTTCTGTACGGATCTTCATCTCTTTTCTTTTTCCACAGGACGCTGCTGGTAAAATGAAGCTGGAGGGAACACTGTGCGAAGACTACTTCAAAATTCGGAACCTGCTCTACTCACAATATGCCATAGTGTAGTACGCCATTCCATACATTCTTGTGGATTCTTTGATCTTTTAGGACAAATCGAGATTCTTTTTCAACGCCCACAAATTGATATTGACAATACAACACCTTGTCTTCTCTTGTGCCTCAATGTAGTGTTCTTGTGTCGGGGGGGGGGGGGGGGGGGGGGGGGAATCTACTCTTTTTTGGTCCTTTTTCCATACTCAACAGATCTTGATTCGAACACAACAAAGGCATAGGGACAGCAGCGTTTGGTTTCAGTTTTTACTATTACTTTTTAAAATTTTGAACCCATTCTTTCCAGTAAGGTACACAGAATTCTGTTTCGGTTTTCTAAATCGTTTATGGATACAACATTGCTGTCAGTATAGTATATTGTCTTTGAAGTCTTTGTATAAAATGTATACCCCTTTTTACAGTTGCCTTGGAACTTTTGCATATGAAACTTCATGATGAAGATAAAGCAGGGATAGTGCATGTATAAAACACTTTTCATACTCTTACAAGTTGCAGATTTTTCATGTTTCAAATATAAACTTAGAGTCAATTCAGTACGGCATTATAACATATTTTGTGCTATATAAATATGTACCTCTATTTGTGGCTCTCTCATCTGTGTCGTGTTGCGCCACTCTGTACATGTACGTAATAGAAGGGAAACTGACGTTTCGCATGAAGTCTGCGAATCCACCTTTATGTTATTCTCTCTTAAGTCTTACAGTACGTTACAGTTACAGGTGCACTTACTCGGAGTCAATAGCCAATGCACAGATTCACAGCCATCATGTATAGGCCTGCTATTCTTCGGATTAGTGACAAAAATTGCTGGTCTCTTGCCAATTGTGATGATTTCTTCTTTTTCTGCATTCCCCGCCAGCTAACTGGTTAGGCACATCATTGTTGCACACAAGAGACCTGAGTTAGATTCCTGAGTGGAGAGAATATTTTTACCTAGCATCTCAGTCTTTCTGATGGGATGCTGCATCCCTCTCACTCTCAGCGTGGGTTGGCCGTTACAGGCAGGAGTTGGAAGCCCCCTTCCAAAATTATCTAAATTGTGTTGATAGGGCTATTAATTTTTTTAAAACTACATAAATAGAAAGTACACCTGCTAGAGTCTAGGAAGCACCTGGCAGTAAAATCTTCATCAGTGCAGTTGAATTTTACGTCCATGACTGTTTATCTCTACATGGACACTGAAGAGGTTTGAACAGCTAAATTCCAATGCCCTTGTGTAGTTATTGATTTCCTTTTATGAGAGTTTGTGCTCTTGAAATTGACAGCATTGTATCTTTAAAGCATTGTCAGATTTAAATCCAACTGAAAGGGGTTTTTTTTGGTTGTTTTATTTTAAAATTTAAAAAACAAGTTCTGCTTGGCATTGTAATCCACAGTTCTATATTTTGCTATGTCCAGTGAACTTTGTGTCTCATTTTTCATTATTGTCAACATGTTCTGTAAAATGGATGTTCAGACCCGAGAATCAAATAAAGTCTTAAGAACATCTTAAATTGAAGTCTTTGTCAATCAAACATGTGACTGTGCTTGTTAACTTCTGTTATAGTGTACTAGTTTTTAATGAGAAGAGAGGGGAGTGGATAAATATAATATGAATAACAATTTAGAAGCAACCACTTTGTGGTTACAGCAAGCATAATGGGAATACAAAATAGTTTTGTGATCACATCGACACTTACCCATTATGCTAAAGAAAAAGAATTAGAAATATAATATATTTCAAATTCAGAAGTAGTTCTAGCATGCAATTATCCCTTTAGAACCTGAACCTAGTTCTAGTGTTGGAAAATTCCTGAAATTTGAATTGGTACTTGGAAATGCATCAAATTGATGGACTAGGCTTTGATTTTTGACAAATTTATTGCTTTACACACAGTTGGAAAATGTGCCATAGTCTATGGCACAGCAGGATTTTGAGGAATGAAAAATCTTTTGTGCTATATTATATGGCACACGTGGCTAAATTGGAATAGTAAAATATAGGAAGTGTAGCCTGCTTCTATAAAAAAAAAAAAGCAACACTGTTGGAGAATATACATCATAATGCACGTACAGGAACAAAAATTCAACATTAATTTATTCAAATGCACAAAGGAAAATTCCAAAGATCAATTTAAAAGAAGATCCACCCAAGCGACTTCAACACAAGTGGAGTCGAATTCCCCTTTTCTTTTTTCCCCCCTTTCGTACGCATATTATAATATAGCCCAGCTTGTGATTTTTGAAAACCCTGAACAGCATTTTGGCGTCCTTCAGTAAGCACAGAGATGAAGGTACAGCATTCACACATTTATTCCTACACTATTTGTATTTGCACAGGTTGCGTCCCCTACTTTTGAAAAAAATTGTCCTCACTTGGCAGCGGTGTTTTGTGTAAAGAGTACTGTTGTGATATGATAAAACATTGCATCTCTAATTATTGTAAATTAATATAAAACCGTAGTAACTACGATTATAATAGAATATCAAAATAATATGTAATTTGTCTCAAAAGACTTAAAATTCAGAACATTTGTTTTTTCATAGTGTACTGTCCAGTCCATTTATAGCAGCCTCTGTTATTACAGGCACTTGATATATAGCAGTGATGATACAAATCCCCGGGTTTTTTTTCTCTTTAATTGTAAGTAATACAAACCTGGCTATAACAGGGTTCAGTTTGCACAGAGTCGGTTATAAGAGTGATCTTGCAGCTCATGAACTTGCTTTCGATCCGTCAAATTATTGAAATATATCTCAACCAAGACATTTCGCCTGTTTGTGTAATCACTTGCCTAAACAGAAACTTTCAAAAACATTCCACTCCCTCTCTCTCTCTCTCTCTCTCTCTCTCTCTCTCTCTCTCTCTCTCTCTCTCTCATTTAAAATGTTTCCTCTCTATCAACCTCCCTGTTTCCCAATTTAAACCTCCCTGTTTCCCAATTTAAAAAAAATCCCCCCCCCCACCAATCTCTCTTCATTCTATCTACTTCTTAGCTTCTCTCACACTAAAAAAACACAACCAGAATCTGACCTTCTAGTCACTGCATCCTGCTGAGAATTCTTGGATACAAAACATAGTAATAATATTGATAAACATACTAGATAATAATAATAATAATAATAATATTATAATATAAAAGATTTCAGTCACAAACACGCCGTCGTCCGTGACAGATGAGCCCTGAACTGGATCGTCTTAAATAATGGATTCTCTGTTGACAGCTGGGGGAGTGGATTTGGAATCCTGTCTCAAACTGTCTCCATCAAACTCCGTGCTGGCCACACTATCACTCTGGCATATGTGCATTTCTAACTCTGTGAGTCTCGACTCCACATCCCACTGCTGTTGGTTCAGTTTGACAGTCAGCGCGCTATTCTCGCCTTCTAATTGGGCGAGCCGCTCGCGGAGGCGAGTGATTTCTTTCAGCAGCATTTCTGATTGGCCCTCGTCTCTTTGTGGGAGGGGCGAGTGCTGCAGTGAGGAGGATGACGAGAGAGGGGCGGGGGCAGGTGCGGGGGCAGGCGGCTGATGCACGTAAGAGGATGGCAGGAGCTGACTGAGCTGAGCTGTCGTCGTTGACGGAGAGGCGGTGCCAAGGTGAGTAGAGGCGTGTCGCAACAGGGCTGGGGAATGCGGGTGTGATGGGTAACTGACAAGAGGGGGCGTGGCTTGAGTGGCAAGTGGCGAGGGCAACATCCCCGTGTGTGACGATGGGGTGGATGGGGCTTGAGGTATGATAAGACCGGGCCCTGGTGAGGAGCCCTGGAAGCCGGCTGGGGATGCTGGGAAGTTCGAGGGGGAGGCGGGGTAATTGGCGCCGGGAGGGGGCGGAGTGCAGAACGGAGACAAGAAGTTGATTGGCTGGTGGTGGTGCGGGTGATGCGGATGGTGCGCAGCGGGGTTGATGAAAGTCAAATTTTGATAGGCGTACTGCGCGTGTGCTGCCGCTGCTGCTGCTGCTGCCGGCGAGACGGGTTGAGGGGGCGGGGCTCCATGGTGAGGTGTGAGGTGGCTCAGCGAAGGGTGACCGTTCACAAGGGGAGCTGAGCTGACCACAGACGTGTCACTTCGCACGAGAATCTTAGGGCTCGGCGGGCTGCTGAAAGGATTTTTCCCAATCACCATCGCTGGCCCGATCACCGCGGCCGGCCCGCCTTCCCCTACGTTGGGCGACCTCTGAGGGGGCGTGCCGCAGTATGACGTCATGCTGGAGATGGTCATCGACGTCGTCATGTTACCCGCGTGGTGCGTGGAGTCGGAGGAAAAGCGCCGCGGTTCGCCCGCACACCGAGAGATGAGGTTGTCCTCGCTCTGAGTGTTGATCAGCGCCTTGAGGGAGTGGTCATCCTCCCTAGGCCCGCCCACTGGCACGACTCCGCCCGAAGTCCCGCCCACTCCGCCTGTACCGCTGCCGTCCTTGTGTATGAGGCCCACGGGCAGTGTGTGATGGCGATGGACGATCATCGAGTCTAGGGGCGTCTTGCCTGTGCTCTCCACCAGGCCAGGCGTGCTTCGACTTCTCGCCATAGACACTGGGGGGAAACGAGCAATTGAAAAATTTAAGTTTTGTGTTGTGTGTGTTGAGTGACGTTAAGAAAAATAGCTAAAGAAATAGGCAGGGGGATGAAGGAATCAGTAGAAGAATCACAGAAATCGATGTACAGAAAAGTGGGAAGACATGAAATAACACCAAGAGGCTAGCCTAGGATAGAGAAAGGTGGAATGTGTTTGTCCGTGGCCTATACCCTGCTGCAGGTTGAGAAAGGCAATGATGACGAAGAAGGGAACAAGCACAAAATTTGTTTTTTAAAGGAAAAAAACAACAATTGTGATTTGGGAAGAGGGGGCAGCTGTGGACTAAGCCGTTTTGCGTCAGAGAGAGAGAGAGAGAGAGAGAGAGAGAGAGAGAGAGAGAGAGAGAGAGA